TCTGATTGGGTAAAAAAAAAAAAAAAAAAGGAGGGCTGCACGGAGACCTGGGACCAAAGGCTGGATCGACGTGAGTGCCACATTGTGCACTTAGTCACGATGTGGCGGAAGGACAATTTGCACTTCTCTAAAAAAAAGCCTTCAAAAAAAAAAAAAAAAAAAAAAAAAAAAAAAAGTAATTTGTAGTGCAGCGGTTGTGTGGCCCAGGCAAATGTAGTGCTCCACTGTTATTTGTGGTCTGTTCTGCCAATGGATCCGAAGTGGGTACCTTCGCCTGTCCCTGATTTAGAGGTGGGTACCTCTCCGGTTTCTCATCGGAAGTCTGAAAGTAGGCTATAATGTTTTCTCTGTTTCCTTGTGGAGTCGTCTATGGTCTAACCTCTGCCTGTTCTTTTGTTCTTTTTTTTTTTGGGGTAACTTCGGCGCAGTCACGAAAACAGTTTGTAATTGCACTTCAGGCAATCCCGCGAATACAACACACCTCCACGCGACCCCACCGGACCCGAAACGTAGGTCACATACATTCAGCCTTACCGGCCCTTTTGCCTCAAGTGCAATTACAAACTCAATCCCTGACTGCGCCGTAGTTTTCTCTTTTTCTTTTTTTTTTTTTTTTTTTGGAACAAACAACCCGAACGGATGCTAGAGGTGCTGATAAGAGCAGTCACCACAAGCACCTTCGGGGAGGCTCCATCTATTAGTGGGGAGCAGCACTTGCTGGAAATCGGGTCCAGCGTCCCTGTAAAGTACAATATTGTCTGAAGGGTGGTACTGGTCTATTTCTCGTCTGAAGTCTGAAAGTAGACTATACTGTTTTCTCTGTTTCCTTGTGGAGCCGTCTATGGTCTATACCTCTGCCTGTTCTTGTTTGAAGGACGGTACTGGTCTATTTCTTGTCTGTCCCTCCAAACCTGGTCTATTTCTAGCAATTACCCTTGGTCTCTCTCTGAACACGGGGGTAGTAGTCCTTTTCTGGGCACTCTTTTGCTGCTAAAATAGGTGGTGGTTGTCGACCTGTTGTAGGACTAGATCAATCTCTTCTGTCTGGTATTAATCTTGGTCCTCGGTTCTCTCGGACTTGTCTTGGGACTTGCTTGGGTCTGTGTAGCGGGTTGACTAAGACTACTTAAGAAGGAACGTAGATAGTGTTTAGCCTCCTCAACTCGCGACGAATTCAGACCCCTGATGAGTGCCGGTTGGTCGCGCCTTTCGAAACTGGCTGGAGTATTAGGAGGTAATTATCAGACTTTGTCTGGGAATTGCCAATCGTTAATTGCACGATGCCGGTTTACTTGGTGGGTTGTGTGTTTATGGTTTAAATTTTGATGACCCACCAGGGTCGCGTTTGGGAGAAATCACTGTGTGATCCCTTCTCTCTCCTGTCTTACTTCTTTCACTTGGACTTTGCTCACGTCCTCCCACTTGAACTATTCTTTGCGGTTCTTGATGATGTCAGTGTGAGTTGCTGTTGTTCATAGATTTGCTTACCGAGTATGCCATGGATACTCGTATGATTACTATTACCAGGCAAATGGACCTGATTTTCAAGTCACCTCTCTTCACCCAAATACAACGTACGGTCATTATTGCTGTATTTAGAGGGGAAAGATACCCCAAGTACAGCTAGAATGACCGTGCGTTGTACTCAGGAGAAGAAGGTAGGGAATTCTACAGAACATGCACTGTCCAGGTACAGTGCGCCGTCCAAGTGCATTTCCCCGGAATGGTTCCCCCCCCCCCT